GTGTGTGTGTGTGTGTGTGTGTGTGTGTACATATATAAAATGAGAAGAGAGGTTTAGACAGAGAGGAAACCTCCCAGGACTTACTTTTTCAGCTCATCCATCTCATTACGCTCTATCCCCTGGGGAATGTAACCCCATCTTTGGAGTAATCAGCATTTAGATTAAAAATGTAAACACACTCTATAGATCATCTTATTTGTAGAACACATGTCAGGTGAGAGCTCAGCATTGTGCCAATTAAGCCTCTGAGTCTATTTTGCATTAGGGCAAACTAATGAATGAGTAATGATCTACGGGACACGGTGGACTGCTTTTTCCTACCTCCTTGTTCCTGAGAAGCCAGGGCATTCTGCAGCTTAAAGAAGGCTTATCAGCAAAATAACTCTAATAAACAACTTAAAATTTCCATTACTATATTAACTCCAGATAATTATCCAGATAATTAAAGAAAACCTGGAGTCCAAGATTTGGTCCTGGTAAACTTTCTACTTGAAATGGCTCCCTCTCTGAACCCAGTAAGACGTGGTGGTGTTGTCACATTAACTGTAAACAGGTGTTAAATTCAGAATCATTTAGGATAATGAAATTGAGAAATTTCATCAATTATATTTTGACAAGGCACACCTGACAGCTACTTTGAGGAATCCAAAGTATTAAATATATTTAGTTAAACCTTTTTTTAAGTAGTGTATTGGGAATAATAGTTTTAATGGAGAACTTGTCATACTGTACTGCGAGTGGATCATTCTATATTGATCAACACCTATTTCTCACCTGTGGCTCCTAGAAGTTGTTTGCATGTGGCAACGGCATGATAGTCAACAGGTCATCATACTATGTGATGTAGTAGACAGCTCTGGTTAACTGGGCAGAAGAAATTAACATGAAGATTCACTAGCCAGGAAGGCAGTACAGCAGTACACAGTGCAGTGCACTCACCAGCTGGGAGAACAAAAGACAACCTGGACATCCACAGCAGCCAATTAAGTCCCTAGTTGAAATGTGTCACAGTGCCACTGGACTCTGCAGCCAAAATGATGGAGTGCAGCAGCGTCTCTGCCTTAAACCCCTCTGTGCATA